ATCAAAGGAGGAAAAAGTTTTCCTTATGACGAATCTGAGGGATCTGATAGTCCAGGAGGGAGCAGCAGTAGCGTGTGCAAAGCGGAGAGACGCTCTCTGTTTCATTCGATTCCTGATAGAGCAGATTTCAGTACCTGCATTAAGCACTTGTGTTAAAATGTTGAAGGAAGGCGATGAGCGAACGAAAGCCACGTTCTTACTAGCAATGCTGGATATGCAGCAAAGTAAACCGATGAGGGTGAACATGAAAGAACCTGAAGAATTGGAACCCATGAAAAAGATAGACGAGATCAGGAGATTCTCAAACAAGGAGTTGAGGCTCACTAAAGAATCTATGGGAGCATTGCCGAAATCCAGTGAATACTGTGGACCGATCAAGAAGAAGTCATATAGCTATGTGTCCGGGATTATAGGGATAGCATACAATCCTTTCCTGAGTGAAGACATACGCGATTGCTTCTTTGATTATGAGCAGGCGGTGTTACTAAGATTCTGGACGTCCAGAATTGTGACGAATAAGAGCGTTAACAATCCACAGGCCAAATTGGGATTGGTCTTGGAAGAAGAGGTGACTGCACCTTCAGTACCAAAATCCGACAAGAGAGTGGAATTTGGGTTGGGATTCTCAGATGAATTACTGAGAACGAGCTTGATGGCAGTGTGGGAATTGATGAAGCCATCATGGTGTCCTAGTCCCAACGCTGACTCAATATTACGGGCGACACAAGACATACAGAGGGAACTGAATGCGGACTGTAACCTGCGTGACCTCAACATCATATATAATGTGATGATAACAGCCTCTAAGAGCAACGGAGAAGATAAAGTGGAGTTGCCTGGCTGGGGACCAGAAGACTGGGTCAAACCTGGTAGCTGTCTGGCGGAAGTCTGTGGACTAGAGGGTCACGTTTGTGGAAGTCTAGACTGTGTGAAAACCCTGGAGAAACAACACAAGCAGTTGACAGTATTGTTTGGAAATGTAGTGATGAAAGCAAGAACGGAAACGGAACTGATAGCAGATTGCCATGGAGGAACCGATGTGAATCTAGTGACAGCACTAGGATTCTACAGCATGTATGGTTCTTTAGAGTCACTATTGAATCTAGAACAGAAACATGAGATGGTCACAGCCATCAGCGTAGAAGTATTCCCAGGAGTTCTGCAGACTGAGCAGAAGTATATAGGAAAATGGAGGGAAGCAATCGAAACAGAGATGAACATCAGACACAGCGAAACTTATTGTAGACCATCAGGAGCACGATATTTGGTGGGTTCAACGTTGGCTCCAATGTGCAAGAGCAGATACCCTGTACATTTCGTGGCTGTGGACGTGAAGAGTACAAGAACGATCGTGGATCAAGCTTTCTCAGTGCCAAAGTGCGTGAGATTGGCGAGAATGTCTGAAAAGTCTTACGAGTTACTATGTAAGATGTTCTCAGCAGTTCCAGAGAGAACCAAAGAGGAGTTGGAGTCAATACTAGGAAAGAAGTTCATGGGATATGTGAGCGGGAACTTCAGTGACTTTGAAAAACAGAAACAGAGAGGATCAACTGTCACAGATTACAATGCAGTAGACGAGAATGATGAAATCCACCGAGTGATGATGGAAGTGGAACCATTGCTGGAAGCTTCAGGAAAACGCAATTGGAGGAGCATCATGTTGACACATGACGAGTTTCCTTGCCACTGCTTGCTGCAGACCTGGTGGTATCCCAAGCGTAGTAATCTGGTGTTGATCTGGGACTCTGGAGAGCTGCTCTCCATGGGTTTACCAGATTCATCACAGCCCATAACAATAGTGATAGTGGGAGTTATGATGGCGATACGATGGCTGGAAGCTCATGTGAGAGAAAATAATAGACAGGAGGCACCGACGAGAGAACAATTGCAGAAATTAGATTGTCTAAAAGATTTAGATCTTTTTGAGACAATGTGCAAAGTTCTAAACATTCCGATGGAAGTGAAGAAGATATGGGCAAGAAAACGATTGATGCCATGGTTCAGAGCTAACATGACTGCATGGTTGTACGAGTATGCGAAAAAGCACATGTCGAAGCATGGCAGAGTATACAGTGAATATCAGCTGGACATTGGGGCAGGAGCTTTCAAGCGAGCTTTCGTGACCCATCGGAATGCAGTGACCACCGCTGTGAAAAGAATTTCCAGGACGAGCGAGCGTAGTGGAAATGAGAAGGCAGAGATGCTGAAAGAAGATTTGGAGAGAAACGTGACGTTGTGTCTCCACAACAGCTTCTGTAGAAACAGAGAATCAAACGTGGATCCCCTACCTTGCTGTAAACAGAGGGTGGAAGAGCAGAAGTGTTGGAGGACGGCTTCCAACAGCGTCAGGATAGTCAATGACGTGCTACAAGACAAGGAAACCGAAAGTGCGGAGTCAGTGTCACAGGAGGAGGAAATGGAGCATTGACGAATGGTCGAGAAAACAAGAGGCGGCAAGAAAGGAAATTAGAAGAATTTAGAAGTTTTAGAACTTCTAAACGACGAAAAAAGAAGAGAACAAAGGAATGATGAAGAAAAGTCAAAACTCAGAATTGTTTTATGTGTGTGAAAAACTCAAGTGAGAAACCAAGCAACCAAGTTGTAATTGAAAACTGAAACATTTTTGTTGAGTTTTGAAATTGTTGCATTTATAAATTTGCATTTTGGTTTTAGTTGAAGTGGCTTTAGAGACACTCACTTATTATTTATTTAGAAAGGCTTAAGAGGAGAGTATTTTTAAATATTTCAGCCTGCATGATTGTTTTTAATCACTTGGGAAGACTGATCACTTTGTGGTGACATGAAAGACTTGAGTAATCTCTTGAAGAGGGAGGTTGTTACATTGTTCTTTCTAACCACAAAGTTTCTTGGTTTTAATATTCAGGACAATAAACAAGCAAGATTTCCGAAGGGAAGGAGCATAGTAGGATAATTTTAGCTTGTTGGTTGGCAGGACTGTCCTGCAAGCCAACACCTTTTAAATCTAGGAGAAAAAGCTTTAATCGGGACATTGACACTGGAAGTCAGAAAATATGTTTTATCTTAAGTCATATCCTCAGAGTGCAGATTAATGAGAGAATTTGAAGGCTATAGTGATGTAGTATGATGCCATTTATATTCTGCAGTGAGTCGATGTGACGTAGATAAAGGTAATTTCGTGCATTTTGTAAATTCTGTTCGATGACACTGTAACCATTTTACGAACATAGTGCGATTCAATGAGGACATTGACCGGACTGTCCGGGGAGTATGTGACATTCGACCAGAATTGCCAAAATGCAATTTATGCAGACTTCGAATTTTTAGCAGTAGGCCTTCCGAGTTGATGATTTCGAAGGATTAACGACGTTATTCGGATGATTGGCAGAACGGTGAAGGTCAGGATATTCCCGTATTTTAAAATTTTAAATTTTCGAAGTGATGACGTAATATTTCTGAGAAACGTCAGAAGCGGCCATTTTAGAAAAAGAACTAAGAAAAACAGAACAACTTTATCTGTGATTGTGAACAGAACGAAAATCGAGATTAAAGAAAAACGACAACGAACTACAATAGCAGAGAACGTTCCAAGCTGCAACTATTGTGCTGCTACAATAGTTGCGGGGCCGTTGCCGACAACGGTGAAGGGTGAGAACCAGCCTTCCGGATTGGTGTGAAGTTGAAGTTAAGGAGCTTGATTCACTGGATTCAAGAATCCGGAAGGGTTTCGGGACTGGAACTTTTAGCCTTTTATATAAACTTTTAGCTTCTTGTCATGTCCTGAATTGAATTTAATTAACAACTGGATTCATTTTGATAAGGATGAGAAGCTAGGAGGGGGGGAAAGGGTTGATCCATCTTCGATGGAGATGATGGTTTTTATCTACTGAATAAAAACAATAGTAATATAATAAGTAGTAGCCCTGTTTTTAGGAGTGACCTCGTGGTCTGGGGATACTGAGACCCAGCCATGAGCTCACTAATTTTGCATGTAATTCAGTTAATTTGAGCGTTCTGGTCGAAGCCGGAGAACAGTAACGTTTTTGTCGACCTGATGTAAGAAAGACCACCGAAAAGTACTGGCTTGGTAGAGACGGTGAAAAACATGCAGAGCTCTGTTTAGACGCTAGCCAGTCGTCTTAAGACTTAGTTTTGTTATCCGTCGATATGTATCTTCCGGGCGAATGTTACAGAAGGTACTTTACTACAGGTGTTTGCACTCACAGAAAGCAATTTTATATTGTGAAGGCATCTTTTTAAGTGTCAATTAACCTAGTGAAGACACTTAAGTAGGTCGTTCTTCAGAAGAAAAATCTTAAAAATTGCTCAAGATCGATTTTTCGCGTTTTGACTCTTGGTTTGTTTCTAATTTCACGTCATTTTTTTGCTGAAAGGAAGGTCAACTACACTATTGGAAAGCAAAAGTGTAAAGGTTTCGAAAAACGTGATCGACTTTTAGTTTTGAAAGTGGAATTTAATTTTCAGATTTCCCAGCGGAATAAAAAATTTACTTATTTGGTCCAGTTTTCAAATTGGGTTAATTTTATCAAAAAGTTTCAATCATAAATTGTTCTAGAAATAATTTTTTTGATATTCGAAAGTTGTGATTTTTTCAAAAAACAAGTCTGTTTTTTCCTTGCGTTCATTACTTTTTTCTAACTGACTTTTGGCTATGTTTTAAGAGAAAGGCAAACTTTACTATCAAACAACAGAAGTGTAAAGGTCACGAAAAACGTGATTAATTTCAGTTTCAAATTCTAGTTTTTAATTTTCTGATTCACTGCAGAATCGAAAAGTTACCACTTGATCCAATTTTCTCTAAATGGGATAACTTGAGAAAAAAGTGCCGGTCATGAACAATTCTTGAAATTCAAAGAGGTTCAACGTGATTTATTTTTCTGTTTTTACTTGATTCTGTGTTTAATTTTCCAAATTTTTTTGTTGTTTTTTTTGCTTGCAATCAGCAAGGTTATTGCAATCGGGTACTAATTTTTTTCCCCGTAAATATTTTTGTTCCCAGAATGGGCAAAGTTAGAAATAGTAATTTTGAGATACTACGAATTCAAAGTAAGTTCAATACGAATTCAAATTTCTTTGAGTCTCCACGCTTTGCCTGGAGGTACCGTACCGACTACGCGTGAATCAGTTCTTACTTAAGTTTATTGGTGTGTCTTAGGATCGATTTTTAGGATGTGTCTTAGGATCGTTTCCAATTAATTGGTGTATCTTTATTGGTGTGTCTTAGGATCGATTCAATTTAATGTATAGCGTATTGTTTTAATTTGTCGAATTTTTTTCGAAAAGAAAACTTCATGAAATTTGCAATATTTTTTTTGCAATGTTGACTTGGTTGTTTTGTTCACGGAGATATGTGGCGGTTGTCGCATGAGATTCAGTAGTGGGTTCTTTCTGGCTGAGATTTTCGACTAAAATAAAGAATTTTCTAGTTTTTACGGGCTTTTCGGTATTTTTATTGTTATCTTTCTTGGTATTTTTTGGGATTTTTTATAAGTTCTATAAGTTAACAGATTTTCTGCAAGTTCTGTACTTTGAATATTTTTCAAAACTTAAGCTTTCATTTTTTTTTTCATTTTGATTTCTTATGATTTTTAGCTAATTGTTCCTGTAACTCATGCATGTTGTTTGGGTTCAAGTTTTTAAGCAAAGTTTTGTCTACATCAACATTTTTTATTTATTAGTTATGAGAAAGAAATGAATGGAGTTTGTGTAACCCGAATCCTTTTCGACATGTTTTTTTTTTCGTTTGTATTGTATCGCAAGTGGTGCGAAACTCCGCTTCTCCTCTGTGTGAAAGTATACTTTTTGCAGCTCTCAACCTTTTTGTGGGGTGCTTACAGGGAACACAGAGGTCGCAGATATAGACCTGCATAGTTGGCCTCTATTTGAACTTTCAAAAAATTGTAGTTTCCGAGGCATGACAGTTTTTGTTGTTCAAAAAGTTCCGGTATTCTCAAGAAATTTTTTCTAAGATTGATACAAAATCTGATTGATGTTAGAACTTTAGATTTTTTAAAATATGAAAAGTGCAGTTATATGCTGTCGGTCTTTTTAGGGTCCTATTTCTCAAATGAAAATGAAATTATCTGTATTTCAGAAGTTATTACACTTGCGAAGCAAAGGTTATTAATAAAAACTTTCTTTTTTTTCAACCTAAGTCGCAAATAAATGTACTGCTATTAGTGCCACTTTTGAATTGGCAGACTGCGGTAGCAGTATAATATGATATGTGCTTTGACATTTGATAAGTAAAAAGTTAACACAGCTGATGCATTTTAATTCATCAAATGAACCGAAAAAGTTATGACTATGTCAGTACAAAGATAAAAATCAGTAGAATGATAAAAAGCTCGATTTCAGAATTTTTCCAACTTATTGTATCTCGCAATTTTTTTGAAATGCATAATTTATACATATTTTGGTTATATGCTTTCCAATTTATTACATGCAAAATTGTCTTTTTGTATCTGGTGCTACTTTTGCTGCATCGAATTGGCAATTTTTTTTTAGCATATGTAGCTGGGTTATTGGTGGCTATTTTTTTGGGAATTTTAACCGTCCGTGGCTGAGTGATTTTTGCGTGAGATTCAAATTTGCTAGTTGTCAGATTGGAATCGGATACGTAGCCGAGTTTTTGCTAATTATATTTTTTCTTTTTTCACTTGATAGAGCTGCTTTTTGGTCGTGTTCTTGCAAGTGTTTGCGAAGAGCAGCTTAGCTTCGCCTCTGTGTAAAAATATGACATTTTAGTTTTAAAAAAATTACTTAAACTTTGACTTTGTAAATTGTTCTTTTTACAAAACCCTGTTAGATGACCCCAGTAAGTTCATAAAAAGTGACAATTCATGAAACTCAAAGAGCCTTCTTATGTGATATATTTTTCTTCGAAACTGGAAAGTTATATTTTTCATATTTTAATCAGTTTTATTTTGTACTTGTTCTGTTACGCTTTTCCGACCGTCTGTTGTAAATGTTTCTTCTTCTTTTCTATACACTATAACAATGGAACAGCGATTTGACTGCGTTTTTCTGCTACTTTTTAATCCTTTTATGATTTTAATGATTTTTAGGTGCTGCTTTCGTGCTCGGTGCAGATGTGCTGGTAGAGAAAATAGGGATGAACTCACAGAGCCTGTACGAGACCATTTTCCAGGCAGAGACAGGTGCCATATCAGTGGAACAAGAACTGAATAATCCGGCCACTAGTTCGGATGCAACATTAGAACTAGCTGATAAAGCTCTTGCCGATGAACATGTCACACGTAATCTTCTTTTCATTTTTTATATGCAGCTAAAAATTTTGAAGCTAGTAGAAGAAGAAGAGTGTATTCCTCTAAACTTGCAAAACAAAAGCAAATCAATTATGCCTCAATATAATTCTATATAAATATACGCTTTTTACACTTTGCGAGCGTGGTGTATCATTATGACTATTTCTTCAACCTAACTTGGTTCATTTGGTGGCACTTTTGCTACAATCACGATCTGTAGCATTAGAAATTTCATAGCATCTGATAATCGTCTGTGGATGAGAGGGAAGGACGTGATACTCCAAATCTCGAGGTTGCATGTTCGAATCCGACGCATAACAAATGTTTTTACTAATTCGAGGCTTATTTCACTTTATAGAGCTTCTATTTTGCCGTTTTATCGTAAGTGTTTGCGAAGCACAGCTTCGCCTTTTAGTAAAAAATATATTCATCAATTATATCATCGAATTTATTGAATAGTTAGAGAGGATACAGGAAGGATAGTGAGAATAATCACAAGGAGCCCTGAGAGAACTGGATACGTTCTTCAGTTAACTGTATTTCGATTTAGTTTCCATAATATTATACAAAATAGCTAAATCAAGTTCTGGAAATCTGAACAAGATGCATGCCAAGGAACTCTCCCTAAAATGTTACTATCTCTGAGTCCTTTAAAAATAGAACGTTTCTTATATCATATTTTCATTCTGTATGCAGCAACAATTTTTGGGCCTTGTACCATGTACCATGGTATGTTATGCCGAAAATAATTTTATTTAAAAAATAAAACAAGTTTCAAAGGAAGTATTTTCAAAGATAAGAAAAATTTTATAATTCAGAGCAGTTAGTTTTCGCAAGACACTCGCAGTCCTTTTAGTAGCCCAATTTCATTGAATTACGAGTAAAATCAAACAATTTTTTCTCTTTCACTCAAGATCAATTGAAAGTTTTGAAAAATCTTTTGGAAATGTTTCATGAAAACGGATTCTAATAACTGTCAATGAACGAAGTGAGGACACTTATTTAGATCGCATGTTTTTTTCTCGTTTTGTTACCGGAAAGTCTTTACCCAAAGAAAGCTTGTGTTATAGTTTGAACTCCCTTTTTTTCTAACCTAAGTCGCAAATAATGTGTACATTTTAAAAGTGTTCGTTTTGATTAATATTAACACTGACTATTATATTACAAATTGCACTTAAGCTTCAAGTTATCATGGATCTGTAGCAAAGAGTTAGGGAAGGAGACCCGCAACAAAATAAGAGAGTTCGAATCTTTCGTATACTAGCTAAAATGCGTCCGCTCTATAAATTGAGGCATGTTAGTTGGTAAATTTTTTTCAAATTGACTGGTACTGATAATGCGGCATTATTGGCTTGCGTCACTTAGCAATTATTTAGACTCATTATTGGCGTGCGTCTTTGAAGAAATTTTTCTAGACTCAAAATTTTACTCATTCAGTTTTTCCCAGTTGCGTTATTGGTCATATTTTTGCTTGTGTGTGCGAAGTGCAACTTCGCCTTTTTGTATAAATTGTTCACTGTTCGACTTTTGAACACTTTAGTCTAAAAGAAAAGCAAATCACGCTCTCTGACGAATGTGAATGAATGACTTTCAGTTTCAAAGTGGATTTCAGTTTTTAGGTTTTGCTGAACAATAAAAAAGTAATCATGGGTACTGTTTATATTAAACTCGATCATAGAACGTTGAGGTTATATACATTTATTTTTTTGGTTTCCTTGAGTTAATTGGCACTTTTCAACTGTCTGTTGTCTATGTTATAGTGATTTAGGATTGATGAATCAGGTTATTATTTAATGAAAGCAAAAAAAACTTATATGAGTTTTTAAATGTTCTGATCTTTCATGTATCATCTATTAAAGAGTTTTTTTGTTTCTAGAGTCTAAACAAGGGAAAGAGTCGCCCCTTAAGAGCTCAAATGGTGCCTCTTTTGGGCCAAAACCATCCAACGTAGACGTTGAAGACAACAAGGAAGGCATCTTGACAGATGACATGAACGTATGTGATAAAACGCTTCTATGCTTCAATAAATTTTACAGACAGAAGAGCTGGCACAGAATGTTGCTGCTGGTTATTGCCATTACAGTCCACAATATTCCAGAAGGTCTAGCAGTAGGAGTTGCATTTGGGGCTGTCGGAAAAAGTGACTCTGCGACGTTCAGCAGTGCCAAGTCTCTTGCTCTCGGGATTGGAATCCAGAATTTCCCAGAAGGTACTTTACTACAGGTGTTTGCACTCACAGAAAGCAATTTTATATTGTGAAGGCATCTTTTTAAGTGTCAATTAACCTAGTGAAGACACTTAAGTAGGTCGTTCTTCAGGAGAAAAATCTTAAAAATTGCTCAAGATCGATTTTTCGCGTTTTGACTCTTGGTTTGTTTCTAATTTCACGTCATTTTTTTGCTGAAAGGAAGGTCAACTACACTATTGGAAAGCAAAAGTGTAAAGGTTTCGAAAAACGTGATCGACTTTTAGTTTTGAAAGTGGAATTTAATTTTCAGATTTCCCAGCGGAATAAAAAATTTACTTATTTGGTCCAGTTTTCAAATTGGGTTAATTTTATCAAAAAGTTTCAATCATAAATTGTTCTAGAAATAATTTTTTTGATATTCGAAAGTTGTGATTTTTTCAAAAAACAAGTCTGTTTTTTCCTTGCGTTCATTACTTTTTTCTAACTGACTTTTGGCTATGTTTTAAGAGAAAGGCAAACTTTACTATCAAACAACAGAAGTGTAAAGGTCACGAAAAACGTGATTAATTTCAGTTTCAAATTCTAGTTTTTAATTTTCTGATTCACTGCGGAATCGAAAAGTTACCACTTGATCCAATTTTCTCTAAATGGGATAACTTGAGAAAAAAGTGCCGGTCATGAACAATTCTTGAAATTCAAAGAGGTTCAACGTGATTTATTTTTCTGTTTTTACTTGATTCTGTGTTTAATTTTCCAAATTTTTTTGTTGTTTTTTTTTGCTTGCAATCAGCAAGGTTATTGCAATCGGGTACTAATTTTTTTTCCCGTAAATATTTTTGTTCCCAGAATGGGCAAAGTTAGAAATAGTAATTTTGAGATACTACGAATTCAAAGTAAGTTCAATACGAATTCAAATTTCTTTGAGTCTCCACGCTTTGCCTGGAGGTACCGTACCGACTACGCGTGAATCAGTTCTTACTTAAGTTTATTGGTGTGTCTTAGGATCGATTTTTAGGATGTGTCTTAGGATCGTTTCCAATTAATTGGTGTGTCTTTTTTGGTGTGTCTTAGGATCGATTCAATTTAATGTATAGCGTATTGTTTTAATTTGTCGAATTTTTTTCGAAAAGAAAACTTCATGAAATTTGCAATATTTTTTTTGCAATGTTGACTTGGTTGTTTTGTTCACGGAGATATGTGGCGGTTGTCGCATGAGATTCAGTAGTGGGTTCTTTCTGGCTGAGATTTTCGACTAAAATAAAGAATTTTCTAGTTTTTACGGGCTTTTCGGTATTTTTATTGTTATCTTTCTTGGTATTTTTTGGGATTTTTTATAAGTTCTATAAGTTAACAGATTTTCTGCAAGTTCTGTACTTTGAATATTTTTCAAAACTTAAGCTTTCATTTTTTTTTTCATTTTGATTTCTTATGATTTTTAGCTAATTGTTCCTGTAACTCATGCATGTTGTTTGGGTGCAAGTTTTTAAGCAAAGTTTTGTCTACATCAACATTTTTTATTTATTAGTTATGAGAAAGAAATGAATGGAGTTTGTGTAACCCGAATCCTTCTTGTATTTGAGGTAATTGGATTTTAAATTTAATTAGTTAAGTTAATTTAATTCAATTAAGGTTTTCCATTGTTTTTGAGACACATTATCGTTTTTTTTTTGGGATTTTATTGCGTATCGCAAGTGGCGCGAAGCTCAGCTTCGCCTCTGTGTTAAATTTTTGCATGTGTTTGCGAAGTGTAACTTACGCTCTTTAAATCTATTTCGGATATAAGTTGTTCATTACTACATCTCAATTTTAAGTCTGGCTTGAAGTTCTAATACAATTAAAAGCTCGCAACTACTTATAAACTTTAAGGTGCAGCCCCTTATTTTTCTTTTATACACATTTGTTTTATACACATTTGTTATATATAAATTTTGTTTTATCATTCGGGTTGTCGCTCATTGCGAGTTCTAAGTCAGAACTCGACCGGAACGAAAACTCTGAAAGTACCGTAGTGAGATAAGAATGTAATGGTAAGCCACCATGTTGAAGGTCTTGCCGTCAGTCTACCTCTGCGTGGTCTGGGAATGCCCGCGTGGAAGGCATTCATGTGGGGCCAGTTCAGTGGGATGGTTGAACCTATCTTCGGCATGTTGGGATGCTGGGCCGTCTCAGTGGCAGAACCAGTATTGCCATACGCTCTGGCATTCGCTGCTGGAGCCATGATTTGGGTTGTCATGGACGACATTATGCCAGAGGCGCATTCGAGTGGAAATGGAAAAATAGCGTCGATCGGATCCATTGTCGGATTCATTGTCATGATGTCTTTGGATGTGGCTCTGGGATAGCGTTTGAACGACTTCATCTGTCACTTATTATCAACCTTTGGAAGGTTGAGTAAACATTGAAATGATTATCAAACGGTGAACTGTTGACCTGACAATATAGTTAATGACAAGTACTTCATATCGACGCCATTCACGGGCATTGTTCATTTTGCACCCTAGGTGACTTGAAAATTGGGGTTCTTAAAAGTATAAAAGAGAGAGTGTGGTAATTTGGAATCATTTAGGGCCTTAAAGTGTATTTTATTTTATTTCTTATTTTGTCCTTTTTACTCCTTGTAAATATATACAAAGAAATTCAAATGACTTAACTCACATTTTTAACAGTGAAGCAGCAATAGAAAAGTTTTAATATCTTCTCAAATAAGCCTCTGATCTCTTATTAAAAGTAAAAGCTTTTAGGTATCTCACTTACAAATCTCTAATATGATATTGCACCCGGCATCATCGGATGTTTCTTAGGAACGCTGGAAGAGAAAATTTCCAACTGGAATTTTCAGCTCAAGACCAACGCTGTTAGTATACTGAAACATGACTGCCTTAATTTGGGCAAGTATAAATTCCGACCTTTTAACATGTCGGAAATAGGTTTTTATGTGGGGTTATGAGGCACCTTCTTTTTTAAAATAAGATTACAAAAAGATTATCCGAGCGCTCACAAAATGTTAAAATCTAAAAATTTAAAATGTGTCTTCGTTTAGTTTGACATGGTTTGACTTAAGTAATGTAAAAACAAAAAGAGTTAAGTTAACTATTTATGTTGTAAAAGTCGACAAAGAGTTCGATTCAGTTTTTCGCGACTCTTAGACATTATTTTGGGTTCAATATCACGGCTACTACTGGACCTATGAGCTTTCTTTGACATACCTAAATTTTGGTGAAAACCACTGTTTCTTCCAGTATTTAGCGAGGTAAATTAGCGGAAGTTTCGAAAAACTGAAATTGGCTTCAAATGGCTTCATTGATTGGCTTCATTGATTCCCTTGTATTGAATTCATTTCATCTATGTCGCATTTCATATTGGTAAAACTTTTTAAGAAGAATGAACGTAGTGAAGACTCTTTATAGGTCTTGCTGATTTTTTTTTCAGGAGAAGTCTTTAATAACTATAGATGTGCATTCATACATATTGATGCATTTATGAATGCACTTAGGTATATATGCATTTTTTGAATTCAATTGAAATTCATCTGCTGAAAGTGACGTAAATAGCACTCTCAAAATACAAACGTGGAAATGGCGCAAAAAAACGTGAACGATTTTAAGTTTCGAAAATGGAATTTAATTTTTAGATTTCCAGCGGAATAGAAACTTTACCTGTTGATCCAATTTTCTGAAGTTGGGTTAGTTATTTATTTTTTCTTGGAAATTCGAAAGTTGAGATATTTTTCAAGAAAGTCAATGTTTTCCTGAGGAGGGGCGTATCTACAATTTTCTTGAGAGGGGTGGGGGATGTTAAGTAAATTAACTTATCGAAAGTTTGGTCGGTAGTTTACTTTTTGTAGGTTGCGCTCCAACCGTAAAATTATTATATCATTGCACCTTCTGAAAAAATTTAGGGTCGGTCGGTCGAAAATGGGTGTCGTAGAAAAATATCAGAGGGTGTCGATTTCCCCTGTGGGTTCCACCCTGTAAATCCGCTCCTGTCTAGAAGAAAAACGTTGACACCTAAATTTGGCTGTATTAAAGATCAATGGCACAAAAGGGGTATTAATTGTTCCGACAACTAAAAGTGAGAGGAACTTTGTCTTCGGGTTTGTCTTCTCTTTTTTTCCACGCAAAACCAGGTAGCACAAACACTCATCACAATAGATCCAGTTATATTTATCAAACCCCTTATAGTCATAAATCGAACGACAACAAAATTCTAAACAGTTTTCGAATTCTCGAGAAAAACCGGTTTTAATTTGCTTTTAGTCTAATTTCGAGAGTAAAGCGAGTGAGTAGAGAGCGTAAAACATATTTTAAGCTAAAAAAAATAAAATTTCAGCCTAAATGGCCAATTTTTGAAGCTTATTTACCTCTTACCCAGTGAGTAGGAAAAAAATGAAACACTGCAAAAGTTTATTATTTGATTTGGTCACGGATTGCAACAAACAATTATAGTTTGCTGAAGCCAGTTAAAATGATTAGTGGGCAATTTTGTTTTTTTTCTTACATGCAGAAAAACAGAACTGTGCTTGGAACTTTCTGCGTTACTGGCAATTTTTTAGCACAGGAACTGTTTATCTGCTTTTTTTCCGCTGAGGATTTTTTTTCTGTTTCGACGGCTTAATTGAGAATGAACTTGGATTATGAGTTATTTGAATCGGAACCAGAAATTGCTAATAATCTTCGTAAGAGATCAAAACATGAGACATCCGTGATATGAGCTGCAATGAAAAATTTGGAAAAAAATTCCCCGAGCAAAAAAAAACGGTTTGAAAATTTAGCTTTTAGATTTATTTGACTCGAAAATTTATGATTTGGAAATTGATTGATTGGCGCGCCTTTAAAACTCCATCAAGCCGATAGGTCTTAAGGCCGTTTAGTGAAATTTGGGAGCTCAAGCCGATAGTTTTTACTAAATGTCTCACAATTTCATTTTTTTGATATACATTTAGCTTATTATATCAATTTCATGGACTTTCCGTATTATCCATTGTTTTTTGTATCAAATTTGAGCGTTTCGTGAATGTTCAACACTTTTGAAAAACAAAATTTTGTTAAAGAGCTTTTTCTGTATAACTTCACCATTGAAAAGTGGCTGTTACAAACAACGTTTTTTACCTGCTAAATCTTACCTGCTTCAATTATTACAATTTAACTAAATTATATTTGATTTTTTTTCTCGTTTTGAAGCGCAAGACAAGTTTTGAAGAGCATTTGGCCCGAAGCTCCTTCAGCTTGATGCCTTGTGGGCTTGTTATCATACACCTGTCTTTTAGTAATGTATTTTATGCTCAATATGTTTTCGTTGGCATTTTTTGAAAAGTTTTAGACAAACCTTATCTGATTTACAATGCAACCGGAGCTTGTGTTTTTTTACAAGTTGATTTTTGTCCGATGTATTTCGCGAGTTTCATTGAAAAATTGTTTACCTTAATATGGTTGTAGCTTGTCTTAAATTCGCTTAATTAAAGAGCCATCATTGCTACCTTGCATAGATTTTACAGTAGTCTAGTGTATAATGTGTTTGACTAGGAAGCGGCAGATTTTTAGGTTGAACCACCAGTTTGCTAATTTTAGTTTGACAGCTGTTTATTGTATTTTTTTTCTTTAAAAAATTCTCGAACCGTTTTTTTTGTCTTAGTTCAGCTTCGTGTCTGTGATCAACCTTTTTTGTCTACTTTTCATGCAGCTTTCTATTTCTCCTCAATTACTTGCTATATAAAATTTATTTGGCTTCAACCTTCAGGCTGGAAATTTTTTGCTGTTTTTTTGAGTTTTTTGTTGTGGATAATAATGTTGATACACGTTTTTGTTTGAGAGTTATCATGCGCGTGGGTTTGCTGAAACGTAGCCATGTTTTGGCCTTGCCTGCACGAAAGTATCTTGCGACTGCAACAGCCTCTGCTAAAATAGCGTCAAATGGAGCGATGAGTTTGCCGACTGGTTTCAAAGTCGAAAGCGTGAAGGAAGTTCCTGAGTATGATATGACTCTCTATTCGATTGAACATGAGCGAACAGGTGCAAAGTTTTTCCATTTCAATCGAGATGACAAAAATTCAGCCTTTTGTGTGCAATTCAGAACTGTTCCTAATGACAGTACAGGAGTTGCTCATATTTTGGAACACCTGGTTCTTTTCGGATCCAAAAATTTGATATTCGAAAGTCTTTGGTTTCGAAAAACGTGATCGACTTTTAGTTTTGAAAGTGGAATTTAATTTTCAGATTTCCCAGCGGAATAAAAAATTTACTTATTTGGTCCAGTTTTCAAATTGGGTTAATTTTATCAAAAAGTTTCAATCATAAATTGTTCTAGAAATAATTTTTTTGATATTCGAAAGTTGTGATTTTTTCAAAAAACAAGTCTGTTTTTTCCTTGCGTTCATTACTTTTTTCTAACTGACTTTTGGCTATGTTTTAAGAGAAAGGCAAACTTTACTATCAAACAACAGAAGTGTAAAGGTCACGAAAAACGTGATTAATTTCAGTTTCAAATTCTAGTTTTTAATTTTCTGATTCACTGCGGAATCGAAAAGTTACCACTTGATCCAATTTTCTCTAAATGGGATAACTTGAGAAAAAAGTGCCGGTCATGAACAATTCTTGAAATTCAAAGAGGTTCAACGTGATTTATTTTTCTGTTTTTACTTGATTCTGTGTTTAATTTTCTAAATTTTTTTGTTGTTTTTTTTGCTTGCAATCAGCAAGGTTATTGCAATCGGGTACTAATTTTTTTTCCCGTAAATATTTTTGTTCCCAGAATGGGCAAAGTTAGAAATAGTAATTTTGAGATACTACGAATTCAAAGTAAGTTCAATACGAATTCAAATTTCTTTGAGTCTCCACGCTTTGCCTGGAGGTACCGTACCGACTACGCGTGAATCAGTTCTTACTTAAGTTTATTGGTGTGTCTTAGGATCGATTTTTAGGATGTGTCTTAGGATCGTTTCCAATTAATTGGTGTGTCTTTATTGGTGTGTCTTAGGATCGATTCAATTTAATGTATAGCGTATTGTTTTAATTTGTCGAATTTTTTTCGAAAAGAAAACTTCATGAAATTTGCAATATTTTTTTTGCAATGTTGACTTGGTTGTTTTGTTCACGGAGATATGTGGCGGTTGTCGCATGAGATTCAGTAGTGGGTTCTTTCTGGCTGAGATTTTCGACTAAAATAAAGAATTTTCTAGTTTTTACGGGCTTTTCGGTATTTTTATTGTTATCTTTCTTGGTATTTTTTGGGATTTTTTATAAGTTCTATAAGTTAACAGATTTTCTGCAAGTTCTGTACTTTGAATATTTTTCAAAACTTAAGCTTTCATTTTTTTTTCATTTTGATTTCTTATGATTTTTAGCTAATTGTTCCTGTAACTCATGCATGTTGTTTGGGTGCAAGTTTTTAAGCAAAGTTTTGTCTACATCAACATTTTTTATTTATTAGTTATGAGAAAGAAATGAATGGAGTTTGTGTAACCCGAATCCTTCTTGTATTTGAGGTAATTGGATTTTAAAATTAATTAGTTAAGTTAATTTAATTCAATTAAGGTTTTCCATTGTTTTTGAGACACATTATCGTTTTTTTTGGGATTTTATTGCGTATCGCAAGTGGCGAGAAGCTCAGCTTCGCCTCTGTGTTAAATTTTTGCATGTGTTTGCGAAGTGTAACTTACGCTCTTTAAATCTATTTCGGGTATAAGTTGTTCATTACTACATCTCAATTTTAAGTCTGGCTTGAAGTTCTAATACAATCAAAAGCTCGCAACTACTTATAAACTTTAAGGTGCAGCCCCTTATTTTTCTTTTATACACATTTGTTTTATACACATTTGTTATATATAAATTTTGTTTTATCATTCGGGTTGTCGCTCATTGCGAGTTCTAAGTCAGAACTCGACCGGAACGAAAACTCTGAAAGTACCGTAGTGAGATAAGAATGTAATGGTAAGCCACCATGTTGAAGGTCTTGCCGTCAGTCTACCTCTGCGTGGTCTGGGAATGCCCGCGTGGAAGGCATTCATGTGGGGCCAGTTCAGTGGGATGGTTGAACCTATCTTCGGCATGTTGGGATGCTGGGCCGTCTCAGTGGCAGAACCAGTATTGCCATACGCTCTGGCATTCGCTGCTGGAGCCATGATTTGGGTTGTCATGGACGACATTATGCCAGAGGCGCATTCGAGTGGAAATGGAAAAATAGCGTCGATCGGATCCATTGTCGGATTCATTGTCATGATGTCTTTGGATGTGGCTCTGGGATAGAGTTTGAACGACTTCATCTGTCACTTATTATCAACCTTTGGAAGGTTGAGTAAACATTGAAATGATTATCAAACGGTGAACTGTTGACCTGACAATATAGTTAATGACAAGTACTTCATATCGACGCCATTCACGGGCATTGTTCATTTTGCACCCTAGGTGACTTGAAAATTGGGGTTCTTAAAAGTATAAAAGAGAGAGTGTGGTAATTTGGAATCATTTAGGGCCTTAAAGTGTATTTTATTTTATTTCTTATTTTGTCCTTTTTACTCCTTGTAAATATATACAAAGAAATTCAAATGACTTAACTCACATTTTTAACAGTGAAGCAGCAATAGAAAAGTTTTAATATCTTCTCAAATAAGCCTCTGATCTCTTATTAAAAGTAAAAGCTTTTAGGTATCTCACTTACAAATCTCTAATATGATATTGCACCCGGCATCATCGGATGTTTCTTAGGAACGCTGGAAGAGAAAATTTCCAACTGGAATTTTCAGCTCAAGACCAACGCTGTTAGTATACTGAAACATGACTGCCTTAATTTGGGCAAGTATAAATTCCGACCTTTTAACATGTCGGAAATAGGTTTTTATGTGGGGTTATGAGGCACCTTCTTTTTTAAAATAAGATTACAAAAAGATTATCCGAGCGCTCACAAAATGTTAAAATCTAAAAATTTAAAATGTGTCTTCGTTTAGTTTGACATGGTTTGACTTAAGTAATGTAAAAACAAAAAGAGTTAAGTTAACTATTTATGTTGTAAAAGTCGACAAAGAGTTCGATTCAGTTTTTCGCGACTCTTAGACATTATTTTGGGTTCAATATCACGGCTACTACTGGACCTATGAGCTTTCTTTGACATACCTAAATTTTGGTGAAAACCACTGTTTCTTCCAGTATTTAGCGAGGTAAATTAGCGGAAGTTTCGAAAAACTGAAATTGGCTTCAAATGGCTTCATTGATTGGCTTCATTGATTCCCTTGTATTGAATTCATTTCATCTATGTCGCATTTCATATTGGTAAAACTTTTTAAGAAGAATGAACGTAGTGAAGACTCTTTATAGGTCTTGCTGATTTTTTTTTCAGGAGAAGTCTTTAATAACTATAGATGTGCATTCATACATATTGATGCATTTATGAATGCACTTAGGTATATATGCATTTTTTGAATTCAATTGAAATTCATCTGCTGAAAGTGACGTAAATAGCACTCTCAAAATACAAACGTGGAAATGGCGCAAAAAAACGTGAACGATTTTAAGTTTCGAAAGTGGAATTTAATTTTTAGATTTCCAGCGGAATAGAAACTTTACCTGTTGATCCAATTTTCTGAAGTTGGGTTAGTTATTTATTTTTTCTTGGAAATTCGAAAGTTGAGATATTTTTCAAGAAAGTCAATGTTTTCCTGAGGAGGGGCGTATCTACAATTTTCTTGAGAGGGGTGGGGGATGTTAAGTAAATTAACTTATCGAAAGTTTGGTCGGTAGTTTACTTTTTGTAGGTTGCGCTCCAACCGTAAAATTATTATATCATTGCACCTTCTGAAAAAATTTAGGGTCGGTCGGTCGAAAATGGGTGTCGTAGAAAAATATCAGAGGGTGTCGATTTCCCCTGTGGGTTCCACCCTGTAAATCCGCTCCTGTCTAGAAGAAAAACGTTGACACCTAAATTTGGCTGTATTAAAGATCAATGGCACAAAAGGGGTATTAATTGTTCCGACAACTAAAAGTGAGAGGAACTTTGTCTTCGGGTTTGTCTTCTCTTTTTTTCCACGCAAAACCAGGTAGCACAAACACTCATCACAATAGATCCAGTTATATTTATCAAACCCCTTATAGTCATAAATCGAACGACAACAAAATTCTAAACAGTTTTCGAATTCTCGAGAAAAACCGGTTTTAATTTGCTTTTAGTCTAATTTCGAGAGTAAAGCGAGTGAGTAGAGAGCGTAAAACATATTTTAAGCTAAAAAAAATAAAATTTCAGCCTAAATGGCCAATTTTTGAAGCTTATTTACCTCTTACCCAGTGAGTAGGAAAAAAATGAAACACTGCAAAAGTTTATTATTTGATTTGGTCACGGATTGCAACAAACAATTATAGTTTGCTGAAGCCAGTTAAAAAGATTAGTGGGCAATTTTGTTTTTTTTCTTACATGCAGAAAAACAGAACTGTGCTTGGAACTTTCTGCGTTACTGGAAATTTTTTAGCACAGGAACTGTTTATCTGCTTTTTTTCCGCTGAGGATTTTTTTTCTGTTTCGACGGCTTAATTGAGAATGAACTTGGATTATGAGTTATTTGAATCGGAACCAGAAATTGCTAATAATCTTCGTAAGAGATCAAAACATGAGACATCCGTGATATGAGCTGCAATGAAAAATTTGGAAAAAAATTCCCCGAGCAAAAAAAAACGGTTTGAAAATTTAGCTTTTAGATTTATTTGACTCGAAAATTTATGATTTGGAAATTGATTGATTGGCGCGCCTTTAAAACTCCATCAAGCCGATAGGTCTTAAGGCCGTTTAGTGAAATTTGGGAGCTCAAGCCGATAGTTTTTACTAAATGTCTCACAATTTCATTTTTTTGATATACATTTAGCTTATTATATCAATTTCATGGACTTTCCGTATTATCCATTGTTTTTTGTATCAAATTTGAGCGTTTCGTGAATGTTCAACACTTTTGAAAAACAAAATTTTGTTAAAGAGCTTTTTCTGTATAACTTCACCATTGAAAAGTGGCTGTTACAAACAACGTTTTTTACCTGCTAAATCTTACCTGCTTCAATTATTACAATTTAACTAAATTATATTTGATTTTTTTTCTCGTTTTGAAGCGCAAGACAAGTTTTGAAGAGAATTTGGCCCGAAGCTCCTTCAGCTTGATGCCTTGTGGGCTTGTTATCATACACCTGTCTTTTAGTAATGTATTTTATGCTCAATATGTTTTCGTTGGCATTTTTTGAAAAGTTTTAGACAAACCTTATCTGATTTACAATGCAACCGGAGCTTGTGTTTTTTTACAAGTTGATTTTTGTCCGATGTATTTCGCGAGTTTCATTGAAAAATTGTTTACCTTAATATGGTTGTAGCTTGTCTTAAATTCGCTTAATTAAAGAGCCATCATTGCTACCTTGCATAGATTTTACAGTAGTCTAGTGTATAATGTGTTTGACTAGGAAGCGGCAGATTTTTAGGTTGAACCACCAGTTTGCTAATTTTAGTTTGACAGCTGTTTATTGTATTTTTTTTCTTTAAAAAATTCTCGAACCGTTTTTTTTGTCTTAGTTCAGCTTCGTGTCTGTGATCAACCTTTTTTGTCTACTTTTCATGCAGCTTTCTATTTCTCCTCAATTACTTGCTATATAAAATTTATTTGGCTTCAACCTTCAGGCTGGAAATTTTTTGCTGTTTTTTTGAGTTTTTTGTTGTGGATAATAATGTTGATACACGTTTTTGTTTGAGAGTTATCATGCGCGTGGGTTTGCTGAAACGTAGCCATGTTTTGGCCTTGCCTGCACGAAAGTATCTTGTGACTGCAACAGCCTCTGCTAAAATAGCGTCAAATGGAGCGATGAGTTTGCCGACTGGTTTCAAAGTCGAAAGCGTGAAGGAAGTTCCTGAGTATGATATGACTCTCTATTCGATTGAACATGAGCGAACAGGTGCAAAGTTTTTCCATTTCAATCGAGATGACAAAAATTCAGCCTTTTGTGTGCAATTCAGAACTGTTCCTAATGACAGTACAGGAGTTGCTCATATTTTGGAACACCTGGTTCTTTGCGGATCCAAAAATTTCCCCTGCCCGGAACCTTTTTTCAAAATGTTAACACGATCTATGGCCACGTTTCTAAATGCTATGACGGGACCTGACTTGACCATGTACCCATTCTCGACTCAAAATCAGAAAGATTTCGAAAACTTGCTGAGAATTTACCTGGACGCGGCTTTCTTCCCAAATTTGGAATATCTGGATTTCAGACAGGAAGGTTGGAGACTTGATACTAAAAAGAGTGCCGATGAAAACACATCAGCAGTTGCATATAGGGAGAAAGGTAGTGAAAACATTGAGTTTGCAGGTGTTGTTTTTAACGAAATGAAAGGTGCTATGAGTCAGTTGCCTTCAATGGTCGATCATTTGGTTAGAAGCAATTTGCTACCTTCGAATACTTATTCTAATAATTTCGGAGGTGAGCCGTTGAGTATTATAAACTTGACTCATGATCAATTGAAAAATTTTCACGCCACGTATTACCATCCTTCTAATGCTAAATTTGTACTCTACGGAGATTTTCCAATAGAGCGATGGCTGAAGTTAATCGATGAACTAGTTTTGACAAACTTTGACAAGTTGGAAATTGATTCACAAATTCAGTCCGAATCGAAATGGACTGCAGCAAAAACTAAAGTAGAATACTTTCAGCAGCCTCAATTTGACAAGAACAAGCCACAGGAAGTCGAAATTGCGAAACGACAGTCGGTAGTTACAAGCGCGTTTTTGATTGGCGATATAAACGAGCCTTATAATGTGTATTGCTGGAATATATTGAGCTACTTATTAACATCAGGACCTGCTTCGCCGTTTCACAAATCGTTGATTCAATCAGGGTTGGGAGCTAATTTTTCACCCGTCACTGGTTTCGAATCAGATGTTAAAGATTGCTACTTTTCGATCGGGGCTCAGAATGTCGATAACGAAAACCCAGATGCGATTGTTCAAGCTATAGATGCAACTATTGACAAAATTATAGAAGAAGGGTTCGACCAACAGAGAATTGATTCAGTGCTTCATTTGATAGAACTGGACTTGAAACATCAGTCATCAAATTTTGGCCTTAAACTGCTGATGGGCTCGGCTTCAAAACTAAACCACGATTGTGATTTACAAGAGTTCTATTCTCTTTCCCAAATATTCGATAGGTTAAGGTATGATTTGAAAAATGATCCAAATTTTCTTCAAGAAATGGTCAAAAACAGTCTCAAAAATAATCCTCATAGATTAAACTTGGTTATGAAACCAAAAGAGGAGTTTTTTGCTGGTCTTCAAACGAAAGAAGATTTGGCTCTAAATGAAAGGTTGTATAAATTGGACCAGGCAGGTAAGAACCAGATCTTGTCTGAAAGTGTAGCTTTGCTTGAAAAACAAACACTAATACCTGATGCGAGTAGTTTGCCCAAACTGTTGATATCGGATTTGGAGACCAAAATCGAAACGTATCCTTCTGAAATTGTGGAAAAGGATAATCTACCCTCAACCCAAGTAAACGTCCAGCCAACTAATGGAATATGTTACTTCAAATCAGTTTTCTCGACTGAGAAATTAACCGCAGAAGAAAGACGGTTTTTACCGATGTTTTGCTCGGTTTTGACTAAATTAGGAGCTGAAAACCTGAATTTCGAGCAGTTAAGAAGCGAAATAGATCTTTGTTCTGGTGGGTTCTCAGTAACAACTAGTGTTACACCTCATCCGAAGGATTTGAAATACTTTGAAGAATCCATTGTTATATCGTCCCATGCGTTGCTGAGAAATGTAGACAAAATGTTTGCGTTATGGAATCGTATCTTGACCGCACCTGATTTTGAAGCTACCGAGTACCTGAAGGTTATACTGAAACAAAGATATGAGATGCTACAAATGTCTATGGAACAATCGGGTCATAGATATGCCATGCGAAGCTCAGCTGCGACCTTAAATGCAGTATGCGCTTACGATGAAATTTACTCGGGTATGAGTCAAATTGCGCTATCACGACAAGTAGCTCTCAACATGGAAATTGAGAAGTACGTGTCACTTTTCAAAAGTATTCTCGAAAAAGTTTTCACGAAAGAAAATGCACGATGCGCGTTGAATCTGCCGGAAAGTAGTCAAAGTGAATGCTTGAATGCACTTGGCTCGCTTTTCTCGAATTTGAACTCGGTGTCAGAGGTTCGATCTACAGCCTCTCCGTTTTGGATTCCAGCTCCAGAGATTCCTGAAATAGTTCAAAAACGAGAAAGGCTTGTGAAATATTTGTTTCCATTTCAAGTTTCATACGCAGGTCGAAGTTTGGCTGGCGTCCCGTATGGGCATTCGCATTTTGCGCCGTTGGAAGTTTTGTCTAAACTTCTTTCCTGGAATTATCTTCACAAAGAGATTCGAGAAAAGGGCGGAGCTTACGGAGGCGGGGCTTCCAACAACAGTTCGGGAGCCTTTACTTTCTTTTCATACAGGGACCCCACGCCCTATTTGTCCCAAAGAACTTTCCAAAGATCACTCGACTGGCTGCAAAGTGCAAGTGTGGATCAAGAAATGATTGATGGGGCTAAATTGACCGTTTTCCAATCAGTTGATTCACCCGTGGCTCCAGGTAGCAGAAATTTGTCGAACTTTTTTAGCGGCATAACTGAAGAAATGCGGCAGGAAAGACGTGACAGACTTTTTGCATGTACGAAGCTAGATGTAATGGAAGTTGCAGAGACTTATTTGTCTGAAAGAAATCTGAAGATGTCCGGAGGAACTGTAATTGGTCCCAAAAATGAAGACTCAAATAAACTAGACTGGCCTGTAGTCACTGAATGATCAATAAAAATGTATAAATTTGCTGACATATTTGCTAATTAATTAACTATTTTGCACGTCTTTTTCTTTCGAACTACGTACAGTGCTGCTTTAAATTATCCGGACAAAATTAACAACATTAGAAACTTTGAACGCGTTATTCACTATTTGGATTGAAGAAAATTTGAACAGAATTGAATTTGCTTAGTATTGAAACATAATTATGATGGTAAAATGTATTTCGTGAAGATCGGAACCCAAAAATGAGTAATTTGGCGTTTTTGTAAATTAATCAAAAATTACGCTAAAAGGAGGCTCTTACACAGTCCAAATAAGTTCTCCACAAATTTGCGCTAAACCTTTTAAGTTTGTTTCTAAGCTAAGACATTGAGTTTTTATAGCATAAATAACATTTTCAGGCTATCAAGCAAAAATATATTCTCTTATACGCATTTTCGAGATTTTGCGCTTCTTGTTGGTCTGTGTAGTAGGCGCCGTTTAATAAAAAATCCCGCATTAATTTACTTGGTAATTTCAGCGTAATTTTTATCAACCTTCAAAAAAGCAAATGACATTTTTGGGTCAAATTTGGGTTTCGACATTCGTGAAACAAATTGCATTATAATTATTTTGGTAAATTTCTAAGCAACTTTTGTTCACTATCTTTCTGTCTAATCTTCACTCAGTTTGACAAAAACGCGTTAAAATTTTAATTTTAACTCGTTTTTCTGGATCATTTAAATGAGCTCTGTAGTGGCACGGAATTTTTCAACCAAGCAAAATAAGGTACTCCAAAATTTTTTTCCAAAATTCAAATGTCGCGTCGTTATCGATCTATCATAATTTTTTCCCATAACAATTTTTCTTGCGCATTTTAAACTTGCTTTATTATTGAGTCTCAACAACTTTCGGGTTCCTGCGCTTTTGGCTTAGAGTTAACGCTGTCGCCATTGCACACTAGGGTCTTGGGCTCGAGTCCTGGCTGACTTTTTTCAATATGTATGCACTTGCAAGTTTATTTTCCGTTAAAAATTGAATCGTCGGGGTTTATTTGTTTGCCGCAGAAATTGTTTCTGCTTAGTTGTCACATCACGGTTTTTTGTGATGGTAGGAATTATATGGTAATTGCAAGTGTTGCTCATTGTTAATTCAAATTTGAAACTTGAAAAGTTTTTTTTATCAAAGCATTTCTTTCGGCTTAGATTGTGTCTTCTCAAAAGCGTCAGCTTTGTTTTCGCTTCCTAAGTTTTTACGCTGAAAAGTTTAAATTCATAGTTCCTTACTTGGCATGTTTCCCTAGAATTCCTGTTTGATAAAACAGCTATTATAAAAATGCATTGGATTGGGTTTTTTTGAGACGCTTTAGAGTTTTTTTTCTAAAGTTTTAGTTTTTCCTTAAAACTATTCTACCGATTTTCAAAAAAAAAATGGGTTTATTAATGGAAAGACTGCATACTCACCTAGTCTCTGCTTACTCTGGTTGTTGGTTAATTGGAATTGACAGTTATTAAGAGGCTTCTCTGCATTAACGCCCACACAAAATTTTTGCCCATGAAGTTATTGCCCTCGGAAAAGTCAACTTTTTCATTTTGACTTTCCAAAACTACCCTCCCATATGTCAGATTTTGTGTGCAATCCAAAAAACGGGTTGTGGGAAGCTCCTTTGCATACAAGATTACGCCTAGACTTTTTGACACAAAACGCTATGGCCCTCGGCAAAGTCAAAGTTTTGTTTTCCGGCCGGTTTTGGAAAATCCGAGTTTCTGGGCTCAGTCGAAATTATAGGCTGAGTGAGTCTCTTCTGCATTTGATTTGTTGGCCGTTTTTTGAAAACTTCTTGACTTTTATCGATTACTATGCTACCAAATCTGATATCAAGGGTGAAACTGAAACAGCAACCTGATCAAAAGCATATTTTCAAATGAATGCGCTCAATTTTTTTAGAAAAATAGTTGTCTACAAAAATGTCTAAGTTTTGAAACTTTAACTATTTTTAAATTTTTTTTGACTTTTCTCGATAACTCCGCTGCAAAATTTGGTGTCAAGGATGAAATTGAAATAACAAGTTGATCAAAACTTACCTTGTCAAATGGATACGCGCATTTTTTTAAATAAAAAATAATTACCCCCAAATAAAATCAAAGTCTCTAAAACTACCCTGCCAATTCTCAGGTTAAAGGTCAATCGAGAAGAACGGTTTTGACAAGTTTCTCTGCTGAATCGGCATCGATTTTTTTTTCAGCAGAAAAAAAGCAATTCGGAAAGGGAAGTTTTTGAACTTAAGAACGTTTTTAGAAACTTTTTGACGAAACTGTTTGGCTTTAATTAAAAGATACCCTAACAAATCTGAGATAAAAAGTGGAAATCGAAAAATTTCTTTGCGAGTGTTTTTCCTACGGAAGAGGCCACTACTTAATTTTTTTTGAGGAGAATTGTTGGGAAAATTACAATGTCTCAAAATTTCACTCTTCTTTTTTAAGTAGAAAAATAAATAAGATTTTGGGCAAAGTCCTGCTTTTGAAATTACCCACTTCATACCGCATCGGTATAACACTTTAAAAAAGTATCAAACAGATTGCTCCAGCCTTAGCTGGGCCCCTAGTTATGTTTAATCGATACTTTCAAAAATTTTAGTACACCTAGTTTTTGTTTCAACATTTTTCATTGTTTTTCGATTTTAACAGTTTTTTTAATGTTTGTTGTATTGCAAGTTGTGCGAAGCTTTGCTTTGCCTCTGTGTAAAGAGTAGCAATTTGTGCTGCATGCTTGCAGTTTTAAATTAAGGTTTACATTACTGAGATTCAAACTTGAAGCACCATAACTTAATAGTTAATCAATGATTTTAATTTTTTTCTTCGTTTCTTTGTGTATCAGATATGAGAGCGCTAGCGCGTAAAAATCGAAAGCTCTCAGACATTGTATTCAAAAGTGTTTCTATCAATTTGTGAACCCACAGTTTTAATTGAATTTTTTTGTAAACTAAAATTTAAACTAAACATTAGAAGGTTTTTTATGCTACCTGTCACCGTTTTTTGCTTCGCCTCATGACTTAAAAGAAAAAAATACTTCATCCAATAATTTATGAGAAACTACTTTTAAGGGATCTTTTGTGCTTTTCTTGAAAAATTTCAAAAAATTTGTTTCGTTCGTATTTTAGATTTGGTAGTTCTATAGCTTGATATCTTGTATTTATTTAAGCAGATCCAGAAGTTTGCATGGTGTTATCAAACTGAATCACGAATAATTTTTTAAGTCAAAATATAACTGTAAGAAGGATAGTCGCCTGCTGCGTAAATAGCTCAGAATGTTGCAACCACATTCATATATTAAGTTTTTTTCGAACTATGGAGTCGTTTTTAGTTGGGATGAACGAGAGATTTTTTCTAAAATATGTTCACTTTTTGCGCAACAGCTATCAGAAAAATTTTACTGCCAAAGAAATGCTAAATGAAGCGCTCCTCTTGCTTAAACCGGTTTTTTCGACACTGGGAGAACTTTTTGAAATTTTTTTATGTTGTTCATGACTGAAAATGTTTAAATATGAGTTATCACTCGAGCCAATTCGATCATGATTCATTGTACCTAAGAAAACAAACAAAAAAATGAAAAAACAACAAACAACCGAATACAAAGTTCATCCTCATTTTCATGGGTCGGAACATTACAAAAGTGGAACCAAAAGTTTCACTTGATGTTGAAAATATATTTGAATTAGAAAAAAGAAAAGGCTGTTTAAGACCCTAGCATCTGTTTGATGGTTGCGTTTTATTTTGTTCTTCGATGTCATAAATGACAATACAGTCTTCTTTTGGCTTTTGAGTTTTTTTCTGAGAAAATTTTGAGAGCCTTTTGAAATGGAATAATCTGTTTGACACTTTGCAAGCGCACCTCCCGCGCTGGTAGCATATTCAATCTTTTTTATGTCGTTTCGACTTGCACTTGAACTTTTGGAATTTTTTTTGAAATTTTGAGAAGAAAAATTCCTTTCCTTTTCTGTTTGTTCCGGCAATTTAAGTTTTTTTTTCCACGCACAATTAGGTACCACCATGGGTTGAGTGTTATTTCATAATGAAGACCTGTCAGTAGTGATTCAAACGACACTAAAAATTTTTCAAAAAAA